CCCACACACTGTATATAGACACCCCACACACTGGTACACAAACACCCCACACACTGTATATAAACACCCCACACACTGTATATAGACACCCCACACACTGTATACACAAACACCCCACACACTGTATATACAGACCACCCCACACAGTATACAGACACCCCACACACTGGATATAAACACAGCACACACACTGTATACAGACACCCCACACAGTATACAGACACCCCACACACTGTATATAGACACCCCACACACTGTATACACAAACACACCCACACACTGTATATACAGACACCCCACACACTGTATATAGACACCCCACACACTGTATATACACACCCCACACACTGTATACACAAACACCCCACACACTGTATACAGACACCCCCACACACTGTATACACAGACACCCCACACACTGTATATAGACACCCCCACACAGGTATACAGACACCCCACACACTGTATATAGACACCCCACACACTGTACAGACACCCAAGGACACAGGTTGTACTGCACCGCTGCACAGGGCAGAGGCATTGGACAGGTTGTTGATGTCATCCATCCATCCATCCATCCATCAGCACTGACTTACCTGTGTGTTGTGTCCTCCAGCAGTGCTACATGTCCCTGTGTCAGTGCACCCTGCACCCCCTCCCTGAGCCTCCCTCCATGGAAGCTCACCCCTCTCCCTCCTCTTCCACACTGAGCCCTGCCTGCCTCCTGCCCCTGGGGTAAGTCCACAGCTGGTCAGCTGACCGTCGAGCTGGGATTGGCTGCTGCCTGGAGCTCCATCTGCACCAGGAACAATGGATGGAGGAGGCAGGCTGGGAGGAGGAGGAGGAGGAGGAGGGGACCAGGCTGACAAAGTGGACAGCAGTGAGGAAGGAGGGGGGGGCAACATTGAGGAGGTGGGGGACAGGACAGCAGTGAGAAGGGGGGGGGGGGTAGGACAGCAGTGAGGGGGGGCAGCAGGACAGCAGTGAGGAGGGGGGGGGGATAGGACAACAGTGAGGAGGGGGGATAGGACAGTGAGGAGTGGGGGGGGGGCAGGACAGCAGTGAGGTGGGGGGCAGCAGTGAGGAGGGGGGCAGGACAGCAGTGAGGAGGGGGGGGGGGGCAGGACAGCAGTGAGGAGGGGGGGGCAGGACAGCAGTAAGGGGGGGGGGACAGGACAGCAGTGAGGGGGGGGGGGGGGCAGGACAGCAGTGAGGAGGGGGGCAGCAGTGAGGAGGAGTGGGGGGGGGGGGGGGGCAGGACAACAGTGAGGAGGGGGTAACAGGACAGCAGTGAGATGGAGAGGGCTGCAGTGAGGGGGGCATAGGACAGCAGTGAGGGGGGCACAGGACAGCAGTGAGGAGGGGGGACAGCAGTGAGGAGGGGGGGGCAGGACAGCATGAGGAGGGGGGGGACAGCAGTGAGGAGGAGGGGGGGGCAGGACAGCAGTGAGGGGGGGGGGAGGAGGACAGCAGTGAGGGGAGAATAGGACAGCAGTGGGGGGGCGAAGGACAGCAGTGAGGAGGGGGGATAGGACAGCAGTGAGGAGGAGGGGGGCAGGACAGCAGTGAGGAGGGGGGGGACAGGACAGCAGTGGGGGGGGGGGCAGGAGAGCAGTGAGGAGGGGGGCAGGACAGCAGTGAGGGGGGGATTAGACAGCAGTGGAGACGCAGGACAACAGTGAGGGGGGGGGGCAGGACAGCAGTGAGGAGGGGGGTAGGACAGCAGTGAGGAGGGGGCAGGACAGCAGTGAGGATGGGGGGGGGCAGAACAGCAGTGATGGAGGAGGGGGGCAGGAGAGCAGTGAGGGGGGGATTGGACAGCAGTGGGGGGGGGCAGGAGAACAGTGAGGAGGGGGGGGCAGAAGTGAGGGGGGGCAGCAGTGAGGAGGAGGGGGGGCAGGACAGCAGTAAGGAGGGGGGGGACAGCAGTGAGAGGAGGGGGCAGGCAGCAGTGAGGAGGGGGGGGGGGCAGGACAGCAGTGAGAGGGGGGGCAGGAGAGCACTGAGTAGGGGACAAGACAGCAGTGAGGGGGGGGCAGGAGAGCAGTGAGGAGGGGGGGCAGGACAGCAGTGAGAGGTGGGGGGCAGGAGAGCAGTAGAGGGGGGGCAGGAGAGCAGTGAGGAGGGGGGGGCAGGAGAGCAGTGAGGAGGGGGGGCAGGACAGCAGTGAGGAGGGGGGCAGGACAGCGGTGAGGAGAGTGAGGGGGGGCAGGACAGCAGTGAGGAGGGGGGAGCAGAGAGCAGTGAGGAGGGGGGCAAGACAGCAGTGGGGGGGCAGGAGAGCAGTGAGAAGGGGGGGCAGCAGGAGAGCAGTGAGGAGGGGGGGCAGGAGAGCAGTGAGGAGGGGGGCAGGAGAGCAGTGAGGAGGGGGGGGGGGGGGGCAGGAGAGCAGTGAGGGGGGGGGGGGGCAGGGGAAGCAGTGAGGGGGGGGGCAGGAGAGCAGTGAGGAGGGGGGGCAGGAGAGCAGTGAGGGGGGGGGCAGAACAGCATTGAGGAGGGGGGGCAGGAGAGCAGTGAGGGGGGGAGCAAGAGAGCAGTGAGGAGGGGGGGGGGCAGGGGAGCAGTGAGGAGGGGGGGCAGGAGAGCAGTGAGGAGGGGGGGGGGGCAGGGAGAGCAGGGGGGGGGGGGATGGGGGGGGGGGGAGAGCAGTGAGGGGGGGGGGCAGGAGAGAGCAGTGAGGAGGGGGGGGGGGCAGGAGAGCAGTGAGGGGGGGGGGCAGGCAGATGTGCAGCAGATTGTCCAACTCATAGTTGTGGAGCTGGGGGGGGGGGGGGGGGGGGGATGGGGGGGTAATGGCCTCACACACACAATGAGAATATCGGAGGATCGATCGTCGTTTGTGTTGATTTCTCTGATCGTCTCGTATAGAAAGTGAAGAAGTTACAATTGGGGGGCAGAGAAGTTGGGATTCGGATGACGTCTTGTGTTGTATTTTCTGTGCCGATCAGACAGACATCATCCGAGATCAGCCCATAGACAGGACAATCCGTATAAATCTCAGAGGGCGAGGAACTCTCCACAGACACCACCGAGGGACAGAGTGACCCTCATAGTGTAACCCTCCCCCTCAGAAGATTCCCCCAGAAGATTCCCCCCCTCCTGACCATGACATTTTTTGCAATACGGCACTGCGTTCCTGTAACTGACAATTGCGCGGTTGTGCAACGCTGCACCCAGATGAAATTTACGTCCGTTTTTTTCCCCAAGAATTGAGCTTTCTTGCAGGTGGGATTTGATGCCCTCTTTGGTTTTAATTTTTTGCTCTGTAAACAAAAAAAAAGACCGACAATTTTGACTAAAAAAAAAAAAAAAAAAAAAAAAAAAACTGTATTTTGGAAAATTTTGCTGTGACATCCGCTCCAGTGAAAAAAATCCCGCTCCGTGTCTTCGCTGTGAAATCCCGCTCTCTTCCTGTGACATCCCGCTCCGCGTCTTCGCTGTGACATCCCGCTCCGCGTCTTCGCTGTGACATCCCGCTCCGCGTCTTCGTTGTGACATCCCGCCCCGCGTCTTCGCCGTGACATCCCGCTCCCGCGTCTTCGCCGTGACGCGTCGTCTTCGCCGTGACATCCCGCTCCGCGTCTTCGCCGTGACATCCCGCTCGCGCGTCTTCGCCGTGACATCCCGCTCCGCGTCTTCGCCGTGACATCCCGCTCCGCGTCTTCGCTGAAAAAAAAATCCCGATACGTGTAAATTAATTGGTTTACGTGAAAGTTATCGCGTCTACAAATGGCAGGATAGATACGGGTATTTTTTCTTTTTTTTTTACCAGTAATGGCGGTGATCAGCGACTTATAGCGGAACTGCGGCGGCATTCTGACACTGGGGGGGGGAGAGAACTGACTTGGTGTCACTGACATCCCCAGTGACACCAATACAGTGATCACTGTTAATAAAATGCAGTCACTGTACTAATGGCACTGGGCAGAAAGGGGTTAACATCTGGGGTGATCAAAGGGTTAACCGTGTGCTGTGTGTGTTTCACTGTACGCATGCTGCTATGCTGAGACATACAAAGCAGTGTGCAGGAGCTGACAGGGGAGAGATCTGTGCTGTTGACATACTGTACAGGTCTCTCCCCTGTCAGAAATCCTCGGTGGTCTCCAGGTGCCGGTGAGGAATTACTGGCTGGGACCTGGTGATTGACAGCTGAGGCCACGAATGGCGGCGTGGGTAGGGCGTGTATGCAGCTCGTACTCCCCCTACCCGGGAATGTATACCCACCTATATACATGCAGTATTTCCACGTTAGGGTGGAGGGGAAGCGGTTAAAGGATATTACAATTTATTTCTAGTAATTCACTTACAAAAAGGTAAAAAAACAGCTGATCTGTAGAGTGTTTCCATCCAACCAACCAAAATGGCCGCGCGGTGTGTGGTGACGTCACACGTCGTGGCTCTACCCTACGTGTTTCGTCACACAGAGGACGTCGTCAGGGGCGTGGTCAACACACGACGTCGTCCCAAATAAAAATAGGTGAAGGGAGGACACTCCCCCTTACCTAAATTGCACCCCAATTTCCGGAACCACACAAGCGGATAGGAAGTGGGTCAACCAGACCAAACCAGGGGCCAAATGCGCTCCAAACACCGGAAGTGAGACCCCCCAGAGCCTTCCACTACCATCACCCCCCATACACTGGACACCCCCACCCCGGCGAGAGAGAGAAGACACTCACCTTCACAGCTCCAGACATCCCCGGGAACAAGAGTCAGGCTCTGCATACACCATCAAGCAGCCCCTCTCCCGGGTCCCACATGGCCCCCATGCTGCGTGTGTGCCCCTTTTTCCATCCCTTCTTCCAGGGGGCGGTGCTGCCCCCCTGAAAAAATGTCACTGCCCCCCCTAAAAAGAATCCAAAACTCCGGCTTGGAGAATCCTGGGAACGCACACGGAGTAGGCGGCCGGAAACACTTCACATGATAAGAAGATTTTACAAAACTGGAAATATAAAATGAACTGACCCAACACCCCAAACAAATGTTTGCCCCCCCCCCCACAGACAGCGCCATCTTAAATGCCGGTTATCAGCATTTCTCTCCTCACGAGCTGTCACGCTGACAGAGGAGAGAAGCGGAGAGCCCTGGTAATTGGCATTCCATGGAGGGGACATCTACACTGATCAGGGCACTGATGATCTGTGGAGCCCCAGCAGTGCCACCTGTCAGTGCCCATCATTGTCACATCAATGCCACATATGAGTGCCCATCTGAGCTGCCTTTCAGTGTCACCCCATCAGTGCCAGTCAGTGCATCTTATCAATGCCAGTCATTGCCGCCTATCAGTGCCCATCAGTACCGCCTATCAGTTGCCAGTCAGTGCCGCCTATAAGTGCAGTCAGTGCCGCCTATAAGTGCCAGTCAGTGCCGCCTATAAGTGCCAGTCAGTGCCGCCTATCAGTGCCATATATGAGTGCTGCCTTTCAGTGCCCATCAGTGAGGCCTGTCAATGCCCATCAGTGCCACCTACCAGTGCCTCCTCATCAGTGCCCATCAGTGCCACCTATCAGTATAGCCTATCAGTTTCCCATCACTGCAAGCCTCATTACAGCACATCGGTGAAGGAGAAAAATCACTTATTTACAATTTTTATAACAAAAACTAAGAAAAAAATTATTTTTTCAAAATTTTCAGTGGTTTTTTTGTTTCTTTAGCAAAAAAATAAAAAAACCCCGAGGTGATTAAATACCACCACAAATAAAGCTCTATCACAAAAAAAATGATAAAAATTTCATCTGGGTACAGTGTTGCATGACCGCGCAATTGTCATTCAAAGTGTGACAGCGCTGAAAGCTGGAAAATTGGCCTGGGGGGGAAGGGGGTAGAAGTGTCCGGCAGGAAGGCAGGAAGGGGGTAGAAGTGCCGGTAGGCAGGAAGGGGGTAGAAGTGTCCGGTAGGCAGGAAGGGGGTAGATGTGCCCGGTAGGCAGGGGGGGGGTACGAAGTGCCCGTAGGCAGGGAGGGGGTAGAAGTGCCCTGTAGGCAGGAAGGGGGTAGAAGTGCCCGATAGGCAGGAAGGGGTAGAAGTGCCCGGTAGGCAGGAAGAGGGGGTAGAAGTGTCCGGGTAGGCAGGAAGGGGGTAGAAGTGCCCCCCCCGGTAGGCAGGAAGGTGGTAGAAGTGTCCGGTAGGCAGGAAGGGGGTAGAAGTGCCCGGTAGGCAGGAAGGGGGTAGAAGTGTCCGGTAGGCAGGAAGGGGGTAGAAGTGCCCGGTAGGCAGGAAGAAGGGGGGTAGAAGGTGTCCTGTAGCAGGAAGGGGGTAGAAGTGCCCGGTAGGCAGGAAGGGGGGTAGAAGTGTCCTGTAGCCAGGAAGGGGGTAGAAGTGCCTCTGTAGGCAGGAAGGGGGTAGTAAAGTGCCCGGTAGGCAGGGAGGGGGTAGAAGTGCCCGATAGGCAGGAAGGGAGTAGAAGTGTCCGGTAGGCAGGAAGGGGGTAGAAGTGCCCTGTAGGCAGGAAGGGGGTAGAAGTGCCGAGAGGCAGGAAGGGGGTAGAAGTGCCCTGTAGTCAGGAAGAGGGTAGAAGCGCCCGGTAGGGCAGGAAGGGGGTAGAAGTGCCCTGTAGGCAGGAAGGGGGTAGAAAGTGTCCGGTAGGCAGGAAGGGGTAGAAAAGAAGTGCCCGGTAGGCAGGAAAGGGGGTAGAAGTGTCCTGTAGGCAGGAAGGGGGTAGAAGTGCCCGGGTAGGCAGGAAGGGTAGAAGTGTCCTGTAGCCAGGAAGGGGGTAGAAGTGCCCTGTAGGCAGGAAGGGGGTAGAAGTGCCCGGTAGGCTAGGGAGGGGGTAGAAGTGCCCGATAGGCAGGAAAGGGCGGTAGAAGTGCCCTGTAGGCAAGAAGGGGGGTTAGAAGTGTCCGGTAGGCAGGAAAGGGGGTAGAAGTGCCCAGTAGGCAGGAAGGGGGTAGAAGTGCCCTGTAGGCAAGAAGGGGGTAGAAGTGCCCTGGTAGGCAGGAAGGGGGGGTAGAAGTGACCGGTAGGCAGGGGAAGGGGGCAAAGCGAGGTAAAGTGCCCGGTAGGCAGGAAGGGGGTAGAAGTGCAACGGTAGGCAGGAAGGGGGTAGAAGTGCCCTGTAGGCAGGAAAGGGGGTAGGGGTAAAGTGTCCTGTAGGCAGGAAGGGGGGTAGAAGTGCCTGTAGGCAAGCAAGGGGTAGAAAGGCAGGAAGGGGTAGAAGTGCCCGGTAGGCAGGAAGGGGGTTAGAAGTGCCCTTATGGCAGGAAGCGGGGTAGAAGTGCCCTGTAAGGGCAGGGAAGGGGGTAGAAGTCTGTCCCTGTAGGCTGGAAGGGGGATAGAAGTGCCCTGTTAGGCAGGAAGGGGGTAATAAGTTGTCCTGTAAGGCAGGAAGGGGTAGACGTGCCCTGTTAGGTAGGAAGGGGGTAGAAGTTGCCCTGTAGGCAGGTAGGGGGTATGAAGTGACCTGTAGGCAGGAAGGGCGTAGAGGTTGTCCTGTAAGCAGGAAGGGAGTAGGAGGTTGTTCCTGTAGGCAGGAAGGGGGTAGAAGTGCCCGGATAGGCAGGAAGGGGGTAGAAGTTGCCTGTAGGCAGTAAGGGGGTAGAAAGTTGCCCGGTATGTGAGGGGTTAAAAAAAAAAATAAAAAGTTATAATCCGACACCGCACAGATGGATCCCATAGGAGGAAGGCAAAAAAAAAGCCAGTTGGTGGAAACAAGTCAATTACAATTATTATACTAGAATACAACCATAAACGATCAATAATTAAGAAAAAAAGGAAAAAAATATAAAAATTACAAAGAAAATGTTACTTATTGCTGAAATGGGTATTGCCCCCCCGCGCTCTGTATGAAGCCCCGACGGGGGACCACGTCTTTAAAGTGAGTAAATTCAAAAACGTTTTCTAGTATGGATATCTCACGTGTAGCAACTATTCTAGCTCTCCCAACTGGGGAGGGCCCCCCGAGAGCCAGGAAATCGGGGGCCCACTCTGGATCTTCATTCATTCCTGATGCATAATGCATAGAGCTTTAGACTGTGGGCCAGGACAGCCGATCCGGTCAATGTTCTGAATATGCGCATTGAATGTAGTGCGTAACATGCGGGCTGTGCGGCCCAATACCGTGCACCATACCAGATCACGCGATTCTTGTACAGTTTTCGAAAAAAAAAATTATTCCTGCTTGTCCCTTCAAGTAATTTCGATGAAAGCCGGCGTACTAACCACCCGATTATCGCACGATCCGCTTCGCATTTATTTCCAGGGTGACACCCAGCACATGCAGGGAGGGAGGAGCTGAGATATTTCGATGTGTAACAATGTATCACTTCCATCTCCTGCCTTTAGTCACTCCGGATATAAGTGTGATTTGTGTGCGATTTCTGCTGACTATTTATTGTGACTTGTGAAGATCTTCAACAAACGCTTTTCTTGCAATTTGCAGAGCGATTTCCATTCCTATTCCATGGATGTGAAATCGCAACAAAACTGCAGAAAATTACGCAGGAACTTACTGTAGAAATTGTCTGTTCTATCCATTATCCATCCAACCCTCTTACATTTTTTCTATTATCTTATTATTTTTATTCTATTATTTATTATCTATCTTTTTAATCTATTATTTATTATCTATTATCTATTATTTATCTACAGTTGTGGCCAAAATTATTCAACCCCCAATGCTGTAAAGGGGTTTAGGGACTATAGTGTACATTTGGAATTGTATTCAGAATCAAATCCTACAAGGACGTTGTAACTTTTTTATTTTTGCAACTAAAATGACATCAATTGTTTATGTAATACAGTAGTAAATGGTTCTTATGTGGTTTCTTCATTGCCACAACTTATTCAACCCCTTAAAGACTACCACTCTGAAGAACAGAGGTTCATACAGGTGCTTTCCTTAGGTAATTGAAAACACCTGTCAGGATGTCACCGAGCAGCAATCAAGCATAATAAGCACCAATTAGGCAGCTTTAATTTTGATTTGTGATACTCATTTTCCCTTCTAGACATTTTACTGGTGTGGTTACAAACATGGTGAAGGCAAGAGAAATGGTCCAGGACAGACAAGAGAAGAGGTGATTTCTCTTCACAGGAAGGGCAATGGCTATAAGAAGATTGCAAAGATGTTTTACCAAGAGAGACACCTTAGGAAGCATCATATTCGCAAATTCAAGGCAAAGGGCACTGTTGAAACGCGACTACCTGGTATTTGGCAGAAAGAAGATGCTGAACTTCGACTGCTGTGCGCTACCTGAAGCGTAGAGTGTTTTTTTTTCCCCGTGTGACTGCTGAGGAACTGAGAAAAGATTTGTCAGATGTGGGTACAGAAGTTTCAGCCCAGACAATAAGACGCACACTGCGTAATGAAGGCCTCCGTGCCAGAAACTCCCAGGCGTACCCCCTTTGCTGTCTCCAAAGAATAAGAAGAGTCGACTGCAGTATGCCAAAAGCCATTGTGGACAAACCACAAAAGTTGTGGGATTTTTAAGTGTTCTGTGGACTGAAGAAACAAAATTAGAACTGTTTTGGGCCATGGATCAACGCTATGTTTGGAGGATTTTTCAGAACAAGGCCTATGATGAAAAGAACACCTTGCCTACTGTGAAGCATTGGTGGAGGGTCAATTTATTTATTAATGCTTATGGGCTTTTTTTGCTTCTGCAGGTACAGGGAAGCTTCAGCGTGTGCAAGGTACCATGAATTCTCTTCAGTACCAGGAGATATTGGATGGAAACGTGATTTTTCCGTTACACCTGAGGCTTGGGAGACGTTGGACCTTTCAACAGGACTAATGATCCCAAGCATACCTCCAATCCACTAGAGCATTTGCAGAGGAAAGGCTGGAACATTTTGGAGTGGCCATCGCATTTCACCCAGACTTAAATCCGATTGAGAACCTCTTTGGGACTTAAAGAAAGCAGTTGCATTTTAGTGCGCAATAACAGCCTGATCAGATAAATGTGACTTCATAATTGGAGGCCCTTGCCCATGAAGAATGGGCGAAGATACCCGTAGATCGCTGCAAGACACTTGTGTCAAGCTATTTTTTTACACTTTAATTTATTTATAACTGTAAAAGGATGCTAATTTTAATTTTTACTAAGATTGAATATTCACTTGGGGGTTGAATAAAAACTGATAATGCTTGTTTGAGCATGGAGAAAAGACATTTGTGGTTTTTTTCATTATAACTTTATGTTATATTTGTCTGACCTACAAGTGGCCTCTTTAATGTAAATGTAAGCAAGATGACTGAATGATCAAAAGCAATGTCAAACTGGCCAAAACACTCAATTTCAGTGGGGGGTTTAATAATTTTTTTGGACACAACTGTATCTATTTTCTATCTATTTATCTTTTATTATTTTTTTTTCTATTTTTATTTTTATCTTTATTATCTATCTTTTTCGATTTTATTATTTATTTAT